AATAAAGTTGACAAAATGCAAATTTTAAGGCTTTACGTTTCGTTGTCTATACTTGATCAAATTTTCTCAAATTTTAACCATTTATAATTCAAGGTATTTTAAGTGGACTTACTTAATGACATAATTCATGATTCAACAGAGTTTTGAACCTTTTTACTCAGCTCAAAGTTTTCATAAAAACCATGAAATTTTTTGCCTAATTTAAAATTTTCATCATAAATTTATTAATAATGCAAACTCGACAAAACTTTAAGTTTATATTCAAATTGACTTTAAAAACATGTTTACTTAATGCACCAGTCCCGGTTTAATTAATAAAATTTTGAACTGCGTGAGGTATAAGTTTCCCAATTATTAAAATGATCATCAGATGGTTGGATATTTATTGTAGGTGAGTGTATATTAATATATATATAGCTGAAATTTTTTTCCATTATAAAAAATTTTTTCTGAGGTATCACTTCCTAATACAAAAATGATCTTTGAGACGCAGCTGATTGATCCTTAAATAAAATTCGGTTGTTGTCCTTGTGGTTTTTGTAAAATCTTCTTTAAAAGTTGGTTGGTTGACTATTTTACTTTTGCAGATCGTCAAATTGACCAATAAGAATGCAAAATCGTGATCAAAAAATTACTATGTGTTACCATTAAAGAATAGAATTGTTTTTAATAGTATTAGTATATATCACCATTTTTTTATTGATTGAACTTTAATTAAAAAAATTTTTTGATAAAAATAAATTTTAGTTTTATAGTGATTGAAGTAGCTGACCAACTAGAAGTTGCAGACAATTACAGACAGTTGCAGACAGTTGCAGACTTACAGCAATTGCAGCAGTTGCAAGCATTTAGATGTCAATATTTTTCAGGTTGAAACCTCCTGAGTTACAACTTCCTAGTTGCAGAGCCATCTTTAAATATAATGTTATAAATAACCATATAATTAATGTAATTAAACACAATAACTTTACTACAAATCTGAGGTATATAGCTGATTGGTCTGTAAAAAAGTCCTTGTGGTTTTTTTATAACTTTCTTTAAAATTGGTCAATTGACTATTTTTACTTTGCTGATCATTAAGTTGACCAATAAGAATGCGAAATTGCGATTTTATGTTACCATTAAAGAATACACAGTGACGAATATTTAACTAGTACAAATTTAGAGACTATATGCAAAAAAATGAATTTGATTGGATATTTTTACAGATAGTTTCTAATTTGTACTAGTTAAATAACCATGATTATACTGTACTCTGAATGTTTAAGGTTTAAAAAAATCCATTAAATCTGTTAAAGAGAGATAAAATAATTATAGTAATAGAAAAATTTGGTTTTGAAAATTTATCCACTAAACCCTAAATCCGCTAAATCCAGGGTCCACTAAACTGAGACTCACTGTGTGGGAATCCAAAATGAGCCAAAAGGTTATTTGCTATATAAATCATCCCTCTAATTAAATTTTCTTGATCATTAACCAAAATAGTACAAAGGAATTCCTTATCAGAGAACTAGATGAGTAGATCTTTAAAACATATAAATAGCTTTAGAATTTTTTTAGCAAGTGGACATTCTTGTTGATCACATTTGTTTAGTTAAAAATTGTCATCAAGATATCACATAAAATTTGATTTTGGTTGGCCTAAAAATCATGAGTGTTCAAGAATAAAATAAAATTATTATCATCCATTTCAAAAAAAAATTTCATAATGCATTTATGAATTTAACCTATTCTATTTTTATTCTTATCAAAATCTAAATAGCGATGTTAGCATAAAAAGCCTTGACTAATTTTCTACAACATAATCATCAACAATCTTTAAACAATTAACTAAGCAATCTTTTTCAATAATTTCATCATCACAGAAATTAAGCAGTTGTCTTACAAAAATTTGTCTTAGTTCAAGTTTTACAATTTGTTCTGCATGTTTAGATGCAAATTTTGTACAAAAGTCTGGGAAACTAGAATCAGAAAGAGATCTACATATTTGAAATTTAAAATATTATCAATTTAAATATTATTATTTTAAAATAGTAATAAAAAAATTCCCAATTGTTGTATATTAAGTTTACCGAATGCAACCACAATATAATTGCCAATTAATGTAGAAGTATGCCAAAATAATCCCGGTGAAATTCCACCGAAAATTGAAACTTCAGGTACTGACCAAGCAAAGGTTATGGTATCTAAAGCAACGATTCCAACGTTTGGCCATCCGTCAATTATCAAAATCTGATTATGTTGAGCTATATAAATAAAATAATTATTAATAAAATACTAATATCTGATAATCCAAAACTTTTATATAAAAAGCATTATTACATACGTATAAAATTTGCCGTATGACCAGCCCGAGGAAGTGGGGTTTCACCTGATGTAGTCTATAAACAGAAATTCCAAGAATTAGTTCAACAATTCTGATTTAACATTTAGTAAAGATTAATAACGTAAATGACAACTGACAATTATTCTCCACGAATCATTATTTATATTATAGGTCGGTATCTATTTAAAAAAAAACAAGAATTATAAGTCGAAGAAATGTTTAAGATACAAATAATTTTAGAAAAAAAAAATAATGCGAACCTTTTCCATCGAAATGAGTGAGAAATCAGAAAAATACCTCCCACTAATATATAGAACATCACCATTTGGTAACAGTGTTGCACTATATCTCACCCGTGGGGAAGGTGCATCTAATGATGAAAATGTTAACCATGTTAAATCCGTAGTGTTTAACTTATATAGGTGATTTAGTGAATTTCCTCCAAATGTATAAATTGCGTCTTTTGATGCGACACATTGAATTCCTAATAATTCAGTTGGCACGTTTCCTGAAATAATTGGTCTACTCCATGTTTGTGTAAAAATGTCAAATTTCTCAATACGACTACTTTCTGAAGTGATTCCACCAATATAAAAAATAGAATCATTTTTGGCTTCATTAACGCAAGATGCACCAATAGTCCGAGGTGAACCATAATTAACTGATGAAAGACTGGTCCAAGGAATATAGTTCAAATTAAAAGCCGTAGAAACATTAAGGTAAAAAAAATTCTCAATATCATGACTCATGCTTTTACCACCTTGAAAATAAATCTTATTATCAACAAGAGCTGCAGTGTGGCCATATCTTGCAACTGGGGTAAAAGCATAAATGCCGGTATCGAGTTGAAAAACACAAACGCAAAGAAAAAATAATACAAAAGCGGTATTGAATTTCATTTTATAAAGAAGAAAAATTGAACAAAGTTACTCTGAAACTCTCTGGTATTAGTATAAATAGATATTAAGTCTACCGGATCTGGAGTATCATTTTAGCTTTGGATAATTGAACAATCAATAATGTAGGACACTACCACACATAAAAACCAGAAGCGTTACCAGTCAATCTAATCTGCGTTATCTATTACCAAATTCAAACGAATAACTCGAATCTTTTTCTTCATTGATTAAAGCCATGGATAATAAATATCAATGAAAGACCAAAGTGGAGATCTATTTGTAGCGGAAGATAAAAAAAGAATTTAACTCCGAAAATTCATACATGACCTTGAGAAAAATAGAAATAACAAGAAAAGTGAATAGGTCCAATCTGATGTGATCAAAAATTTTGACCCCAAAATAAAACAAAGTCTTCGCGATAAATTTTCGGAATTAGGTTCTCCCGCGCCCATATATCCCTGTAAAACACGGATTTCCATGGATTAAATCAAATCTTATTTTTATTTGGTTACACCACACACGTTTAATCAATACATAAAAAGATTTTTATTTTCGTAATCAACTACCTTATACATTAAATTTCCATCGTTGATATAAATAAAGAAAATAAATAATGAGTGAACAAAATGAAATAATTTATTTGTTGTTGTTTATTTAGATGGTTTGTTTGCACATATATGCATAGAGCCTCAAGTTGATTCATATGAAATCAGTCATTAATCAATCTGAACAATATACCTCTGCTAGACACTTGAGTTAATAGATGTCTCCAAGATAACACATACTGTATGTCTCTATAATTTTTATATAATATAGAAATAAAATAAAATGAACGTCTTTGATCAAAGCAAAAAATCGATTTGACAATTCTCGTTGGTTGATGTGCTATATAATAATAGTATTGCGATTAGTATCAACATAAAACACTAATCATTTTCATCAATAATTAGGTCTAAAAAATGCCACAATTCAAATGACCCTTGATATAATACAAATTTGAAATATTAGATGTGATGTGATAATAAAATCGAACACGGACTTTTCTTTTACACAAATTTACCTTATTTAAAAATCACTCTTCATCTTTCATCTTACAAATCAAAATTATATCAAGATTTGGAAAAATATGTATACTCTACCAAATTGGCACCGGGTAAATAAATGATTCTTACGTAACAGCGATTTTTTACAATTTCTGGTTATTCATATTATTGTTACACAGGTAATTTTGTCCATTCAATTATCTAAAGTAGAGTAGTTGATAATAATATAAACAAATGACGACTTATCGAGTTTGCATGTCTGCCACATTGGTAAAAGCTTGTATTCGTGATTCCAAAATCATGAAATTGTGAGTAATTATTTCGAATATTCCATTGTTGCAGGAATTTAATAACATAAAATAAATGGGCTGACAAAAAAGTTGAACCGTTCTTTCGACATTTGAAGTTGATTTATATTTTGATTATTATGTAATGGGATACTTCAATTCAATAAATTCATCTATATATTGATTTCTTATCTCTTGGTTCCCATACAAAAAATGTCAGGGATTATGATTATAAAAAGCGGAATAATTAGTTATTTTCCTGTTACTATTTATAGAATTATCGAGATAAATTCGCAATGTGATCTCATTTAAGGATCTGCGGTTAAGTGATTGCCATAATAATAAATTCATTCTTTGATGTGTAATCCAGAGTTGCAGTAACAAAAAATTCTGTTTGTTATATGATTTGACCCAGACCAAAATTATGTTTAATATATAACTTGACCATAAGGTTTGCAATAACATTAGAAAAAAGAACATAATTTGACCCATAATATATAATAGCATTGAAAATTGATTTAACTATAATAATAATAATTTGACCGTATTAATGATTGTTGCATTTGTAAAATTTTTAATAATTTTGACCCTATTATATAATTACTGACATTTATATACATATGAATTTGACCCAGCTGAGGCAGTAACCTATCTATGAAGTTATGTGGGGTCCTGTACTGGGCCCATTGAGTTCGTTTGTGTAACATTTCAAACATATTTAGTATTTTATTAATAGCAATGGACATACCAAATCGAATATTCCATGAATTTCATGAATCCAAATCACCATTCAAATTTAAAACTTTTACAATCAACTGCTTTAACAACGCTATACATCTATTTTTTCTAAAAAGTAGTTTCTATTTATCCTAAATTGTCTTTCCTTTCCTCCAAAAATAGATCTACTATTTTTCTAAATCGTGCAAATAAATATTTTTTATTATTAGAAATATAGAATCCTAGACCAGTTCTTAGTTTTTTATCAATGTATATCAATATATCAAGATATATTCAATACGAAGAATTTGTCAAAAGCAAACAAATAAAAATAAACCAATGAATAATGTGCGATTATTATCGAGATAAATAAGTTTAATAAATTTTTGCATCACATTAATATATTATTATCTGTTATATTAAATAGTCATTATAATTACAAATAAAACTGTATCAAATTAATATTAATAAATAATTACTAATATATATGATTAAAAACAATAATTAATTAGATTATTTATCCATTTAGATTCTTTTGCTTAATTCAGCAGCTGTTCTAAAAAAATCAGTAAAGTCAGTGACGACGTCATTAGTGGCAACATTCAAATTAGCAAAACTGAAACCATTATCATCAGTGCCAAATATAATGAATGGATCGATGTCAAATGACACTACTACGTTAACAACAACAATGTCATTAACAGTAGAATTAACAATCCCCACACAAGTAAGTACATCATCTGACCATTTTCCACACTATAACTAGCGCTGCATAGCACATACAATTTACACCTTCACATTGTGAATCTGTAACAAACGTCTTGTATCTGGATTATATATACCAGATGTGAATCCGGGATATACCCTAAGGTAAGTTTTACCAAAAGTTCTGAAGTTTGGTGGGCCAATCTTATCGAATATGCTATAAAAATGTTTTATTGTTATATAATAAGTAAATCATTTAACTATTTTATATTTTTGAGAAATAATTGAATATTACCCCAAAGAATTGTTGGAGCGGGAACTAACATTGTTTTTAGGAACGATAACCTGAGATAGATTTTCGACTCTATAAATTATGATTAATACAAAAAATTTGATTCGTGCCCGCCAATCAACGATAGAAACACAAATTTAAAAAAATATATCAAGTGACAAAAGTTGCATACTATGAAATTTTCTACTTTCGTTATGCAAAGTCACATGAAATTGCAACATTCCAAAAAAATGTAGCTGATTTTAATGATAATTCTCAACTATTTTTATGAATTATATTATTTTAAATTCAAAAAAAACTTATTACGAATTATTCATTGTTATTAATTCAGTCTTGCATGCTGAAGAATAACAAGTTATCCAACTTTTACATAGCATTCATTACCTGTATGAAAAAAACCTTGCAAAATGGCAATTATTTTTTAGAAAATTTTGTTCCTTTTTCAAATTGTCTATTGAATTATTTATTGACAAATTATTTCTTTGAAATAAGTTTTTTTTATTGGGCTAATAAGGAAAAATAAATACAATAGCTAATATATCCGATGGCTGACAGAAGGTCAATATGCTAGATCTTTACTTAATATTAACATGGGTAAAAAATTTTCTCCAAAAAATTATCAAAAGCAAAAGCACTAAACCTCATTCACAAACTTCTATTCATGTAACTTTTTATAATATACAATATATACTTTTAATATTTAGGAAAAAGTGTTTTCTGATGCAAATCGGCAATATAACGTAAATCAAAAGTCTATAATGATCATTATTAAAAAAATAATTTATTGTTATTTTTATATTTCTAAAATCTGAAAACGGGGTTTTTTAATTTGAATCCCGGATCTGCATAACAAATTCCTACTGATATTAATAAGAATCAGAATATTAAAAAAGATATGTTTTTATTAATATTGTAATTTAAAATCTTTTTTCAGTTGGCAATGAAGGAATCCAGAGTATTTTGTTTTAGAAAAATAAAAACAATTGTCGAGATTATCATTGAAATCTTCCTAGAAACTTGTATTTAAAATCAATAATTATTTATGTAATTATTATCATCTCCTCTCGCCATTGATTGATTTGGAGTTGGCATAAAAACAAAGAACACGTATTAAAAAAGATTCAATGTTTTCTTTCTATTTATTAAAATCAATCGTCCGTTTAAAGTAATCGAAATTGGATTTTTGGCCTTGTCACAAGATAGGCGTACTTGATATTCTCACTCTGGAGTTTTTCTTCTGACTCCGCCAGACAAAAAAGCATTTCAACTATATACTTATAAAACCTTTTCAAGCAAATATCACGTTAACATATATGAATTAATCGACAAAGAGGCTTAAATTCTACTCCAATTTTGGAAAGAACCTGCCTGACTGAATTTACGGAACACCAGAATTTTATGTCATGTGGTACGAATAATTTAAATATATAAAGGGATGTTGGAATTCCATCAAAAATTTTTAACGATAAAAAGTTTTTACTACTAACCTTAAAAAAAAAATAATATTAATAATAATAAATTATAAACTTAACTAAACATGACAAAATTTATTATGAACAACTATTTGATTTTTCTCGGGTTCTTCTTCATTGCATTGGTTAATATCGTCGTCTTTATGTTTATAAATTTATGCGTTTATTATATTGATTTATTTTTATATTGATTATGATTTAATAGAGTATGAATGCTCATGCAGTTGTTCCGAAGGTGCCCTATAAAACTATAGCTCTTTCAGCCAATAATGGTGCTTGGATCCTTTGCTCACCTGAACCAACTACTAATGCTGGTAATTTATTAATTAAATTAATTAAACAAGAATCAAATATTTTTTATTATTATGTAACCAACAATAAAATATTTTTTTTTAGCCTATAGTATAAGACTTGCGCCACCATCCTCTGAGCTTTCTTATCCTCCGTTCGGCACGTCTATTAAAGGGAAAGGTCTATCCAACAATAGTGGATACGGATTTGTTGTTGGTCTATACGACAAAACTGCCAATAAAGTTTACCCAGATACACAATGTGGAAATCCAAATTATGCTTGTTATGCTGATGACTCTCTTGCCTCAGGACCTATCACCAACATTTGTGTCGTCATTCTAAACCCTACGTACAACAACGTGATTCTTAATGTCGTTGTTAGTTTCGCGAAGGAAAGCCCCTTCATCACCAACGATGTCAATTCAAATGCAGATTTCTTCAATTTTGGTGTTACAGATATTCCCACTAATGAAACAATAACTATCAACTACAAGGACTATGTTACAACTGCTCAATTGAGCAAAAGATATTATAAAAATTAAATTTTTTATAAATGTCATGCATTATTTCTGAATTGCTCTTTTGATTTTAAACTTAATTCAATATTTGTAATATTTTATTATGTGAATATATTGTATAATTATATAATTATTAATAAACTTTATTTGATTGTTGAGCGTACCATTTTGTTTTGCTTTTGAATAATTACTTAAATTATAATATATAGACAGTATACATTTCACTCTTCGCATAACGTTCCTTCCATCAAGATGTTTGCTATAGAAAGAGAGTCATATTAATATGGGCTAATTTTAAACATTGAAAAAAAACCTGCCATAAACTCTTAAAAACTTATCTTTATATAACATCAATTGTGAAAAATTGTGTTAACTCACAAAGATGAATACGTTGACAATTGATTTTTTTTATAACAAGTAGTAACGATCATTAATTATTTCAAATAACTGATTTTTAGCCAAGTGAGAACAAATTTTAAATTAAAAAATTTTAAAAAAATGAAGGTTTAAACAAATTCACATCAAAATATAATAATAATATGGTGAAAAAAATTTTTTTTTTCGAGTTTTCACTCATTGTCTTGGTTAACATTTGCTCATAAGTAAATGTCACGTGGTAATTAATTAGTATATTGATGCTAATATTGGTCAAACTACGTTATATTAGTATGTAGAGATTTTTTCATAATAAAAAAATTCTTTTCAATATGTTGTGCATGAATTTTGAAATCTGAAATTTGCGCGCGTGAAATTCAGAATTTTGCAATTTTTTAGCTACAGCTATTCAAATGAAATCTTTTAACAGGCTTGTATTTTTTCATTTTTTTTTAATTATTTTATTTCATTTTTTAATGTTATTTTGTTAGCCCATTGTTTTAAAATATAGATTATAAATTGGTCTGGTACGTTTCCCCGACACCGTCTCCCCGACAAGGCATTTCCCCGACAGGACGCTTCCCAGACAAGACATTTCCCCGATGGGACATTTCTCCGACAAGATTTTGTTAACTATATTTAATATTAATCGGCTAATAAATGGCCTAACCGACTTAAACAGCTTAGTCGCCTAATGAATGGGTTAATAGACTTAAATGGTTTGATAA